GTCTATTTGCATAGGCTTTCAAGAAGTCCATCCAGGAACGTGTACATGCTAGCTCGAGACTTTTGAACAAAGGTTGCGTTACGTAGTCTGCACTTGCATGAAAAATATTATCGTATGAGATGTCAGGTCAGTGAGAATGTCATAACTACAGGAACTGCATGCAAATTTAAAAACATATTACACGAATATACTTATACAAAAATATATTCTGTACTAGTTATGTAAAGGTGAAATTAACAGCTATTCCAGCTGTCACAGTTGTTACTGCCAGTAGAGTACATTTGTTTAAATTTTAAGATTCCAGACATTTCTAGGGCTATATACAAAACATCTCAGACAGGCTGTGATTCCAAGTGATAATAGACTAGTAAATTATCAATGGTATGAAACATTGCAGACAACACAAAAGAGGAAGACAAAAAAACCGCTATTAAGACAATGAGATTTTGCAGAAGAGAGCGTCGAAATTAAAATTAATAAGACGTTCTTGTCAATGATCCAGGCTCGTGTTCGGAAAATTTTAAGATAAGAATACGTGATTACCTAACAGAAAAATGCACTGTTCGTATTTTAAATTTCCGTAAGATATAAAAGATATCTTTTAATCGGCTTTTTTTTTTCTTAATTATTTTACAAAATTAGAAAGTTGTAAACAGACGATGGTTAATTTATCTAATCGAAAATTTATAACGCAATGTACTGCTTTTACTGCATACTGATTCCAAAATCCAGTATATTCCTTTTTTAAAGAATGATTTTCTTACTGGCAGCATTTGAGCTTCCAGTTAAAATAATATGAATTTTTAGGATTTTGCTGCTAAAATATGCAGAAATGACATGATCTGAAAATTATTTACAAAGATACACTACGAATGATAAAGAACACAAAGTAGTAATACGGACAGAGAAACAATCTTGGAGAAATTATTTTGAACGTGTTTCGCAATAATCCAATACCTGGATGAACACAGTCTCGCATTTCGGAAAATCAGTGAAGCATTACATTGTCAAAACAATGGTATATCGTTAGACAAATTAAACTATTAGCTAAATCCGATCTATAAAACTTTCAAATGACATATACTTCACACAAGTCTTCGGCCAGTTCACTGGCCATCCTTAGGTGCTGAAGTCAAAATTTCACAATTGACGTGAAAGGTTAAATAAAATCCAATTACATAAACTGCTTAATCTAGGCTTCATTTGAAGGATTAGAATAAATTCCTTCACTTGTTAGATAGTCTCGTTTTCGGCTTTTCCGATTTTTAAGTGCACGTGTGGTTCGTACCACATCACATTCACTTTGTGTCTGTCGAACAATTTTTGAACAGTCCTTGACCATAGGATTAAAGGGTTTCTTTGAACAATCTTCCAGTTTTCTAACGGTCGATCCGATGTAAGCGCCCCCACACGTTGGCAGCAGAATTCATAAACAACACGTGGCTGTTCAGAAAACTGGATACGATCTTTAAACCGAAGAAAATTTTGAATTCTCTATAGCAGACGGAAGCACAAATTAAAGGTGAACTTGTAAATAGACTTTCTGAATTATGGTGTATAGTTTTTTTCTTTAACATTCATGAATGTGAACCTGTATACGGTAGAGAGATCATTACCTGTAGCTTTGGGATGTCATAGTTCAGTGACCTGAGCAGATATAGTTGTTGAATGGTTATATTGATGGTAGAATCAATAAAGCAGTTCGGGAAGGTGTTACCGATTTTAGTTTCACATTCAACTGTGTAATTTTGACTTCTGCATCCGAAAATGGCCATTCAATTGTTCGAAAGCTTGTGTGAATTATAAATCCGATCTACTAATGCACGAGCATGTGTGAGTTATAGTAAACAAAAATCTATGGTCATTATTTATCACATGTGATACAATATGAGCTCAAATTACTAAAACGTAAAAGCAGAATGCTGTTCTTGCCAAACAGGCGAAATGCTATTCCTTGCTTTGTTTTAAATTAAGCACAAAGCTACACAATGGGCTATCTGTGCTCTGCCCACCACGGGTATCGAACCCCAGATTCTAGCGTTGTAAGTCCGCAGACATAGCGCTGTGCCACTGGGGGCTAGACGTATATATAGAACATTTCTTTCAAACCGACCGTTTGAATAAAATAACCCAGAAATTTTCATAGAAGGAACAGATGACTCAATAACGAATCCGAATGAATCTTTTAGAATTGTATATTTCTAACTTATCTCTAACAACACTAAACCAACAGATAAACCACAATACTTACATAATCAAAGCTTTCACCGTCCACATACAAAACGCAATATCACATTCAATCAAGCACTTAGATTAAATAATATATGCTCTGACAGTAAGAACTATGACCGTCACATTAATTCTTTGAAACAGACTATGACTGAAAGAGGTTATAAACAACACATTATCACCCAACAAGCTGAGAAAGCTAACAATATACCACCTATATCTGCCTTGAAACAATTACTTAAAACCAATTTCTCTCGTGTTCCACTGGTTATTACCTACACCCAAAACTAAAAAAATCTATCCCAGATACTAAAGAAGCACTTTTACCTCCTTCAACTTAATGATCGATTAAAACCTATTTTTACGGAAGCTCCTGTCGTTTCTTTCAGAAAGAATAAAACTTTGCATTCACACTTAGTTCACGCTAAAGTAAACTTTAAACCGACACCAGGTGGAAGTCAACCTTGCAATAGCAAGCAATGTCAAACCTGTAAGCTCATGCAAAAAACGGACAAATAAAGACAAACAAAAGCAGTTCCAAATCACTACTTCCATAACCTGCTCTCCAAAAAATGTTATTTACTTAATCCAATGTCAAAAATGCAACTTCCAGTATGTAGGTCAAACCAAAACAACTATAAGGGAACGTTTAAATAACTATAAATCAACAATAAAAACAAACAAAGAAGTTCCGGTCGCAAAACACTTTCACATGCCTGGACACTCTTGAAGACATTAAACTTATGGGTATAGAGACAAATTTTACATCTAACAGAAACAGGTAAATTAAAGAAACTTATTGGATAGCACTGTTAAACATTCTAACGCCAAATGGTATCAATCTCGATCCCGGAGTTGTTGACCTTCGTATGTTTCTGAAAAGATTTTCAAAACTAAATTCATGATTAAACTTACTTTACATTATTAGTATTATTCTTCCTTAAATTTCTCTATATATGTTGGTTTAATTTCTTATATATTGAGCTACACTATTATTTTCTCTATTTCCCACCGCCTTTTGCCGGTACTTAATTTTAATTTTATTTCTATTGTTTATTTTATTTTATTTTTGATTTTATCTTTATAGAAATTGCAATCTGCGGGTCGCGGGTTCGAATCCCTGTCACACCAAACATGCTCGCCCTTTCAGCCGTAGGGGCGTTATAAGTGACGGTCAATCCCACTATTCGTTGGTAAAGAGTAGGCCAAGAGTTGGCGGTGGGTGGTGATGACTAGCTTCCTTCCCTCTAGTCTTACACTGCTAAATTAGGGACGGCTAGCACAGATAGTCCTCACATAGCTTTGCGCGAAATCCATAACAAACAAACCTTTTATAGAAATTAGTTAACAATTCTTATAACTATTATTCCACATAAGTCTTTTATGAACTTTACATACCCCTTTAGCACCAAACTAAACCTGATACAAACAACTCTAGGTTATGATTGGCTAGCTCTCAACGCCAACTCATATTGAAAATCCGGTTTACGTGACATCGACATCCGAGCCTATATATATATTTCATCACACTCATTAAACATAACCCTTTCTTATCCTGAAGAAGAATAGTCAACTATTCGAAAACGCTCGAGTTTTGGGTCTCGTTTTGAAAATATAACACTAAACTATCTGTTTGAATCTAACCAGTCTCACAGTAGATATTTCATAGTATTAGACATGGTGCAAAATTATCTGCTTAAATAAATTAAAACTAATCAAAAACTAATTAAAGTTCAGTTTAAAACAAAAGCACTTTGCTGGGTTTTGATTTATTGTATACAAAATTAAGTACCAAGAGCTCTACATTATTCAGAAATAAATTAATACTTTGCCTTTTATAAAGTTTTGTTTGATGTTAATAAGCACAAATATACACAATGGGCTATCTATGTTGTGCCCATCGTGAGTATCAAAACCCAATTTTTAGCGGAATAACCCCTCATCCTTACCGCTAAGCCACCTGGAGAGACATCTTAAAAAGCTTGAAAATTAGATATTTGATTCGACTTTTATTTGTAAAATCAAGAATATATGTATATTTTAGATTATTATTGATTTAATATTGCGCAATGACGTGAATTGATTATTTGTATTATTTCGTACTTTTGTAATACAATTTAATTATTACAAGTACTTTGTTTTATTTGGGGGCGGCCCTCAAATTTCAATTTCGCACAAGCTTCGCAAAGTTACTCCGGTCCTGATTGTTACGTCATAAAATCTAACGTAGTGATGCGCATAAAGCAATAATATACTCTGTTTTATACACTTTGTTAACATCATACATGAAAATGTTTAACAGTAAGCTTTAATGTTTAAACAGATGATTACTTACGGCAAGTTATCTATTAAAAGGGACAAAGTACATGCAATGTAGACCAAAAGCATCATGCACATTAATCTTCTTCGTGAGAACCTCTCGACTAGAAAGTAACTAGCAAATATACCTGAAAGAAAGATAATTTAATGTTTAATTATCATTAGTATTAACTATTGTACTAAACTTTCATTCGTTCATTTTCGTAAAGTAGGTATAAAAATCAGATTTTTACTGTATATTTAGAAAACTTCGAACCAGTTTATCATATTTTTACTGTAATATACTACAGCTTAAGGTGTCATATTTATAGCATATTGTGAGCTTATACATCCAACGTTTTTTTAAATATATGTTGCTCATTACACGAGATTTGTATCAAAATGTTACCCGGCAACTCTGCTGCAGTAGTCCAGAGTATTTCAAGGTACTCAGAGATCAAGTATGGTCTACACTGTATGTATTTGTCTGAAGTGATATTGTTGGCAGAGTGATTTTGTCTCTCTTCTCCTGTAAAGAATCAATAAAACAACACACTATATACGAGAGTGATCTTATAAAACTGAAAAGTTAAAAGTGATTATCTTCGTTTCTTGTAAATACTGACTCTACAGAAATGATATAATATAATAGCACAATAGTGATACAACTTTAATGTATAAAAAAAATGGGGGAAAATAACAGCACATTAGGAATGTGACATAACTGCACGGACAAAATACATCACCAGTCACATAGAACAAAAAAGGATGCAATAATACAGTAAATATTCAACGTAACAGTACGGAAGGACTTTAGTCTAATAATAAGAAAGTGATTCAAAAAACAATACATTTTATAGGCAATAAGACAGATACATTAAGTGTTTTATTGCTTTTACATTGTTACAGTTTGTTAATCGCGCCGATAGTAGGCACGATGATTCTCAAGGGTACTCAGTTTTGCCTGCTTATTTGTTACAGGGATGTTAGTCGGTTTGGACAAGGAGTCAGCTACCCCACATACTTCCTCAGACTTTGTTTATAATCACAATCTAACAAAAAAAGTACAGTTTGTTAATCACGCCGATAGTAGGCACGATGATTCTCGAGGGTACTCAGTTTTGCCTGCTTATTTGTTACAGGGATGTTAGTCGGTTTGGGCAAGGAGTCAGCTGCCCCACATACTTCCTCAGACTTTGTTTATAATCACAATCTAACAAAAGAGTACTGTTTGTTAATCACGCCGATAGTAGGCACGATGATTCTCAAGGGTACTCAGTTTTGCCAGCTTATTTGTTACAGGGATGTTAGTCGGTTTGGACAAGGAGTCAGCTACCCCACATACTTCCTCAGACTTTGTTTATAATCACAAACATTATTATTTCTTCCATGTAACCCGCAAATACAGTTGGTTCCTATGTGATGTAATCGTTCAATTTCTGAGTCTTCACACGCAGACAAGCATTCATTAGTAATTTATAGTGATTATTACGGTCGCATCACCCAGTGATATAGACATTACACGAGTACATTGCATTCACTAAAATTACATTCAGATACTACAAGTCAGAATAAACTTCGTATATCAAATAATAGCAGGAAGAGAACTTAAGACACTGCCAACAAGAAGGAGTTCCCTTGTGAAAAAACTATGAACATTGCCTAAGAGTATTAGAAGTGCAATAGTTGCCTAGTTTTTCACATTTTTCATGCTATTCGGGACAGAGAATGTTCTATATGCTAACAAGACCCCTCCCTGAATTGTTATTTTATCTTACTGAGATCATAGGGGTTTATCTGCTTTGTTTGTTGTCCTGTGTATGTGTGTGTGAGTATGTTAGCACAAAACTGCATTGTAAGTTATATGCACTACTCCCCCATCCGCCATCCCAAAGAGATGGGATCCTGAATCAAGAGCCATTATGAGGGGTCAACTGAATTCACAAATTGATGTATTCATATTTTCTACGTAAAACAGTTACCGGAATATAAAGTTTTGTTCATTATAGTTTTTTCAAGTTCGAATATATTCCGTTTTTCTTCGTAAATATATCTTTTATTTTTCTTTATAAGTACATAGTATTTTAAACATTTCTTACCATTGAATGCTAATCCATCGTACATGATTATTTCTGGAGTTAAAATTGTTATACCGTAGTATGTGAACATCAAAGAGACCCTGCGAGAGAAAAAATAGTTAGCTGATAGAAAACTTGCAAGAGGTAGGGGCGATAATTAAACTTTATGGAGTATCTGCAAGATAGAACAGTACTATAAGAACATTCTAGATATTTAACAAGGAGTGGAAATGTCATGGAATCCTCAAGAAAACCTTACAAGAGATAAAAACAGAAGGTGAAAGCCATAGAGACTTTATAATAGCAAAAACTGTTTAGTTTAAAGAACCTACAAGAAGAGAGAAAAGTTTCAACTGAACACTATATAAATTCACAAGAGAGAAGGGCCCGGCATGACCAGGTGGTTAGGACGCTCGACTCGCAACTTGTCGGTCGCGGGTTCGAATCCTCGTCCTAACAAACATACTCACCCTTTCAGCCGTGGGGGTGTTATAATGTTACGGTCAATCCCACTATTCGTTGGTAAAAGAGTAGCCTAAGAGTTGGC